TTATGATTGTTCATCTCAGCACTTGAAATACGACGATAGACTTGAGCGGGTGACGCTATATAATTAAACCGTATCGTATATACGATGCATAATGACGAATATATTATATTACTATTATCACATGATGATTCCGCACCCGAATACCAAACTGAGTGGCATTGGTGTGGTATAGTGTGTGTCTACGATAAGTCCTCGAAATGAGKCGATCGATAGTGTCAAAGCGGCGACAATATACCCACGGTGGATGTTTATCAAGTACATAATATAATATACTATATTTAAATGAGGGATTCACTGTATTTCTCACTGTTTTATCAGTTAATAGTAACGCGGCAAAATGGGAAAAAGCTGTGGTGGTTTCATATTATAAATATTRTAATATGTTATATAGGTTCCTATAYTATTATCTAATATTAATGCGTTGTGTGGTCCTTGCGATCGCTAAGAGATTTATTACGACGTACGTTAAAATATAATAATATTATATGRGTATTATATATTATTATTATCATTTATCACCAAGCGAAAAGCGCAAAAACATATTTTATTGATTTCATATATTATATTTATATATGTATATTCATTATTCAGCGTAGAACCAGTCTATAATAATTACAAAACGTAAATAATGTAGGTATAGTATTTTTTATTTGTATTATTATTTATTATTGAGTATAAAGCCTAGAACTGCTGATGAGGTCATTAGCCTACAAATTTTACATAAGTTTAAATATTATTTRACAAAACAATGCGTTTTTCATGACATGTCTTACGCTGAAATGACTGTGCTAAATTGTCGCGGATTCATCATTGTATAGTGCATACACTTCATAGATAATTATACAATGTAAAAAAGTATTGTATAATACGATCTAAGACAGTGGTTTTCAAACTGTGCACCACGAGAATTTTCAAAGAGCACGGTGGTCTACTGCTCACAATAAATAATTTAAAACTATAGAAAGGTTTTTCATAAAATTCTAGTATTCGCAATAAGACACCTAGAAAAAAGTTTGAAAACCACTGATCTAAGGTGTAGATGCACCCAAAGAAAAAAACCCATATGATGAGGCTGCAATATTACAATGTCGTGTCATATAGTTAATAGATAGATACAATGTACCTTGTACAGTGATATATAATATACCTATRTACYTACCTAATAAGTCTCAAGGAAAGGTATGTAATATAATAATATAGGTAGGTACAGTTATATTATACACTCTAATCAGTTCAAACGTCTCCTATAAGCTATAAGCTATAAGCTATAAGATGCTCATACCCAGCAAAAAAAAAAAAAGCTGTGTCAAATGAAATTTCACCAACAGAACCTTAGCTGTTTCTACCACGTTATCATTTCAAATTTAAATTCAATTACCATTCCAACTAATATTTACCTTTCTTCCTCCGTTTATCGCTGCTAAAGGTAATGCCTATTAATTCCTAGTCTATTCTTGTTTAATACTCCCACATTCATGTATAATTATCTTAATTATCAAATATCAGGTTCTATTCCTAATGTCAAAGTAATGGCCCTAACAGTCGATGTTTTATATATAGATCAATAAAAAAATGGATATATTTCTAAATTAGTTTTATCTTTCGTATTAATAACTACAATAGTTGCAACTGTCCACAATGATTTTAATGTTATATATGAAGTACTAGCTATATTGTAAGTACGTCGAGCTAAAATATAAATAACTAACAGCAAATAATAATCTTAAAAAAAAACTCAAATGACAAACAAATAAAACAAATCAAAAAAAATAATAAAAAAATAATTGAAGACCCGAGGGTAACAACAAAACTTCTCCAATTAATGAAAATTTTCAGGAATCACTTTAAAGTTTAAACTGTTTTAAAAATGTCTTGTTGTTACCCTCAGATCTTCAATTTACTATGGACTTATAATAATTTGAACATTTTTAATTAGGATAACTAAGATATGTTTTTAATTTTTACAACAAATTAAACATATAAATGCATTTTCTACAAATTTAAATGTATGGGTTCAGGTGTATTCACTGTGCAGGTTTTCGCCAACGAGCTGAATCAGAAGATCGTTTATTATATATAACATAACAGTATACATTAAGCTACCAAAGTACATTTTACGAAATAATTCATCATCGGAAACGACTAGCTCGTGTTATATTGTAACGATGATATTATTTGCAGCCGCTCGTGTGCATTATATTATTATTTATTTTATACAAACCGACGCGACGCCCGCTGTAGGGCACCACCGTACATTTTGTGTACGTATAATACGCATAATATTATCATGCATATAAAATATAATACATAATATTAATCGGCGTGGAAGACAAAAAAATAAATTAATAAAATAAGACAATGCAAAACGGAACTATACCTATGAATTCGTCCGTTTTATCATAGAAACAATGTATACATTATATTATATACACGGGGTTATATATATATATATATATATATATATATAATCCCACGTTGTACGATGGTGATAGTCGTGGTAATAATAATAATAATACGCGTACTTTCAGGATGTGTGGGGGGTGCAAATGAGGTCTGCAGCGTGAGTTTCGCAGCGCGTATTATAATATTATAGTCGTATCGAGTCGGGTCGCCCGACAAAACAATAGAGGTCGACTGCCATTGGTCGAGCCCGGCCACCGGCGGCGCACCACTATGTACGCATACATGTATTATATAGGTGTATATATATATATATATATATATCATATACACATACTGGTGATAATATATATGCATACATATATAGCATATATACCTACTCGCACACACACACATTTGCGTGGTATACTTATATAATATATATATATATATATATATATACAGCAGAGCTCGTACAAAAGGGATACCCACGGGAGAAAGGAAAGCCAGTCCAGCCGTCAGCTAATTAAGGGTTGCGAACGTATTGTGTACGGGTGAGCAGTGGCGGCGGGTAGGCACGAAGGATAACGCGCGCCCGAGTAAAACAAAGGACAGGCTTTACCACCGACCCCCGATCGCGTGGGCCCCTTGCCGCTCTTCTGCCGGTTCAGGTACAATATATATGTGTATGTGTGTATGTGTGTGTATGTATATAGTATAATTTATACTCTCTAATATGTAAATTGCGAGCGCGCGTGCGTGTGTGTTATATATCACGACCAGACCCTGCAGCAGCAGAAACGTCAACCGGAGCACAAGAGCTAGGGCACACCCGTTTACGCTTTCGGAAGTTTATGTATTGGATGATGGACGATGGTATATAATAAAGTAAATGTGCGTACTGTGTAATACCGTCGTACAATATATTATATATTATTATATAGCGCTAATGGATTCGATTAATTATCCACGTGAGGCTTCTAAGTCCTAACCGTTTTCGTCTCAGTCGAAAACGCAATACCATTACCCTGACCGCGCGACGTGTATTGCTTTTCGGGGCCAAAAACAAACAGTTGTTGTAGGTGTATGAGCGACTACTATTATGCGTTAAAACGTTGGCAAACAACRGGCGCCGCTCGGTTTATGATGTATACGTAATACGTATGTAATAATTATATTATATACTATACAGGTCCCATATACTGCAAATTTACAATGATAATAATAATACAATAAGGTTATAAAAAAAAAAAATTCTTCATCGAATCTCAAATGCTTAATTTATTTCTAATTTTTAGGTTTAGAGTAATAAATAACAATATTATTATACTCATACAGTCTAAATATTAATAAGGTACTTAAAATAAAAGAATACAGTTTAAAATTTATTTGTAGAAACTTATAAAATATGACGTTATATGACGTTTTCCTTGCAAGTCATCTGTAGGTATCTGTTGTCAGAACCATTGGCACCCCGAGGGGTGGAAATCTATGGCATTCACCCCCCAGGCTTTTGGAAAATTACGAAAATGCAAAGCAAAAATTACAGAAATCTTTAAATTTCTCCTCAAATCCTGACGATTACCTCTCTCAGAAAAATGTCTGCCGGCACCTAAATGGTCGAAATTATTCAAATTCATCCATATCTGTTGTAATTAATACTTCGCAATTTTTTTTTTTTTTTGTATCGTTGGTGATGATAATGGCGCKCACAGTATCACAGTACCTTTATTCTTTAATCTCATAAAATATCCTGTAAAAAAGNAAAGTAGTCACATATATATGGCGTAAGATCAGGTGACCCAGGAAAGCGAGTGCAGGGCATTTGGATGATTCATATTGAATAACCCCGTATAATAATAATAATAATAATATCTCAACTCGCCTATATAATTATAACGAAATTTTAACAAAACCGTCTAATTCTCGTCGAACGATTAATTTCGCAAAACTCGCACTGCGAAAACGGCCGAGCGTTATTAATACATTAATACATTAACAATATATAATATGTGTTCGCCGTTGTTGCCGTTTTCCTGAGCTAAGAACGCAGTATCACGTTACTCGGAAATCCTTTTTGGCTCGTTGGGAGAGGATCGTGCGAGGCCACCCTATGTAAATAACCGTAATCAGAACCGTCACGGATTACAATAATTATCGGGTCTTAACGGCGAATATATAACAGGTAACGAGAACGTTTCACCCGGAGCAATATAATGATGTGAAGGGATTGTAACGCTGCCAATTAAGATATGTATTAATATTAATTATTATTATTATATAAACGTTACACGTCGATAATGGATGATACAACTATACATCGTAAGTGTGATGGCTTAAGCAYCATATTTCACTAAAATTTTATAACGATTGTAGAGGGTCCACAAAGTATTTAATATAGGACAGTGCACGCGGTGTGTCAGAGAAGGCGTGGTTTTTAAAAATGCAATAAATCGTTCAAAAACAAAGGGGATTACAAAATGTAATTTTTAAACATTATCATTTTTTTATTTTTAAGATATTTTATTCCAATTTAACAAAATTAAAAAAATGATATAAATACGTTTACACTTTCACTTTCTCTGCATCCGGTCAAAATTAATGATAACTATTTTTTGCAGCCTTATCAATCGATTTTTAATCAATAAGATGTCAGCGATCGTCTATGGTTTATTCACGTCAATTGTGATGTCACATATCCACATACGAAAAAAAAATATTTTAGTTGAGATGATCTTAGAAGTTAGTGGCCATTCATTTACGTCATCGTGAGGAAAACCAAACGCTCAGAGCTAGCATTGTTCATGCAATGTGTGTCAATAGTAGCCTCATCGTCCTGCTGATAGCTGCATGCTGAACTGAAATATTTTTACAGGTATATTTAAATAAAATTGATATTTTATATCAGATACAAAACAAATAAAGTAATACATTATTTTTTATTACAATACGCATCACAATAGCGATATATTATGTTAATCATATTATTAATTGTATACCTACTTACACAAAGTTGATGCATTACACTATAGAAAACAATATTGTACAGCTTTCAATACAGTATAGTCACATATATTAGGAAGTATTATTATATTATTTTATTATTTTATTTGCTGGTTGATTATTACTATGTAGGAAGGTATTATAATACAACGCAAAGACGTCATGTCGACTCTGACGCGTACATCGAATATCGCACAATATATTATTTAATAATAATAGGGGCAGCCAGATGAGGTATACGTTTGTGTTCCACACTTTGTCGTCGTTTGCCCACAGGTAAACACAGACGAACAGACGCCACACATAGTACGTTTAATATAATGATATTCGTTATTAATCGCATCACAATCGAACGGCACACCTGATCGGTTTCGCACGCAGTCCATAAAACGTATTACCTATGCGAACCTCGCAGATTTACAACAATAATTATTATAATACGACGTACGTGCGTTGTGGGTCCACCACTCCACGTGTATTATTAATTTTAAAATATAATATGTCACGATATATACATTATAGTAACGTATACAATATAATATATTGAAATTATTACGATGTCCTTAAATTTAAGGGTACCGGGGACACGATGTCGAGTTGAACAAAGAAATTAAACAGATGAAAAAATCACACGAGTTTTTCGTTCTTCGATCCAACGTATAATAATTATTAATAAGAACGTTCCTTATTTTTATGTAGGTACACATACGTATGGCGTATAATAAGATATATGGTGGTGTAATCGTAAAATTGATCATTATACCTATACYTCGTTTTATTAATAATATTATAATTAGGACAATGATTTGTRAGAATAATGCGATATTTTTATTAGTTTGTTGTAAAATATACCKTTTAAACTCAAAGTTTGAATAGGTACGATACTAATGAGTTTGATTTTAAAACTTTTAYTTTCCAATTTTTGCACATTTCTTATGAATATTGTTATTTTATTTTTTGTTTTTGAACACGAACTTTACTCAATCTATTCACACGTCGTACTTAATTAATAATATTATCTTGAATTAAAAATATTTTTTTAACAACGAGTCTTGTATATAGGCATAGATACTACAATATTTATTTTTCATTTTTGAGATTCCAATCCGTKTATAATGTTTTAAAATGTGTTTTGTGGGATTCATAGTACATTTTATACTGCAATATTTGAAATTCTAAGTGATTCCTTCAGGTTTTTTTTAATGTATTCAATTCCCAGCTCTAATTATAATTAAATCTTGGAACACAAAATGTCATGCCGAAACATGTAGCTATGTATATATAAATAAAATAAATATCGTTCTACGTGTATAACGACGACGAGTACACAACGTCGCAATAATATAACATATACAATAATGCTGCTGCAGCTTTGACGTTATCTACCTATATTGTACCTATATATCAAAATATTATTTTGTATTATAGTAATATAGTGATGCGTGACGAACGGGAAATCGACACATCCCGTATAGCTGCAGCATCCGCTCCGTCTGCAAACCGACGAAAAATGACCGTCTTCAACATGTCGTCGTCGCTCTCACAATATAATATTATGCAATCATATCAATACATAATGTAGGTAGGTRTACGAATACACGACGACGGAGAACGAAAAACGTATTTGTCATTTTCTCCGCGCGTTCGGTGCTCGCGTACACTTATACATTATATAATATTATCGTCTAACGCGCGACCGATGCATCAATTTTTATTGACACTCGGAGCGGTGAATAACATTTCGAAAAATAAAACGTTCTCCAGTTATATACATATATCATTATAAAATATACACGCTAGCATATATTACGAACAACATATATAATATATATGTATGTATGCGTATACATTACACTCGCGCGTGTACATTTCTCTCCCGTGGAGTATATATCCGATTTATATATATATATACGTACTCAGCATCACCGTATCGCCGCCGTCGTCGTATATGGACCGTATCCACGCGAGATAGAAACACATTATAAATAAGGAAAACTCTCCCCCGAGAACCCGCCGGCGAAGGATAGGGAGGTGCACTACAGCGTTCGCTGGAAACGCTCGGTGGCGGCGGCTGAGCAATGCGGGGCTAGGGGGTGTACCTATGTATATATATATATATAAACATAGTGACGGCGATGGCGGGTGAGGAGCGCAGGTTGCGGGGCGACACAATGTGCCGAGAGAATTCTGCCGGGTCGTTTTAATACCCGTAAAGGGATTTCGAGGAAAACGTCGATAGTGTTTTTCCCGGAGTTTTATATGTGTGCTTTGTATATATGTATATACATTATATTGCGCGGCGCGCGATGGGCGGAAAGGAAAACGCTCTTCGCCGCTGTCGTTGCGATAAGGGCCGATGCCGTTTATAATGGCTGCACTATTACTATGCATGCGTATATATATATATATATATATATTACTAGAGAGTGAAAGTGAGTGAGAAAGAGAGAGACGGCAAGAGGGAGAGTATTAGAGAGGGAGCAGCTAGTCCCTATAYATGGTCCCTCTTTCAAAAGGACCCTTTTTCCTTGGACTTTTTCTTTTCCCGACCAATGACCCGTCTCCCCGGYCTTAAAGCTCCCGAATACGCGCTTACACGCACGCACACACACACCCGGGGTGGTTTCAACGACGGGGGCGGTTTATGGAGCGCGGAGTTTTTATGGTCGTTCGTTCGTTTTTTTTATTATTATTATTATTATTATTCCGTTCGTGTGGGGTGGATAAGCAGGTCTGCTCGCCACCACCACTGCCACCTAGCCTAACCAATGTCTCGGACACATTTCGATCGAAACGCATAAAAAGAAATCGTATATACGACACACGTTTTTTTAATGGAAGTGGTGCGTATATGAGTCACGAATCGCGATATACACGACTCGTCCGCCTCCACCGATGGGTGTGCGATGACAGGCGAGTGTGGGGTAAGTATACGCATATATGGTGTGTATGATATATTACACACGCGTCCTCTGGAAACGACCGCGCTGTCTCTGCTGAAATCCAATGACTAACAGCAGACGACGTGATCTGAAAGGTTTTTTTATTTTTATCTTTATTCTTTTACTGCGCTGTTCCCTCGTACACTTCTGAAGTGTACATCAGTGAAATTTCAAGAAGGCACCGAAAAAAAAAATAGAGAAAAAATCGTGTGTAATRCAAAAATTCTTAAATTACTCCTCGAAACAAATGCGTCTCAAATCGTATTATATACCGTCTTCAAGCATAATATCGACAGCAAACATTCACGATRCGATGACGCGTTATTATATTATGACGTATTCAAATCATGTATTATATTCACGTCTTAATTTATTGTATTATATTCTTATAGATTTTACATGGACGTTTATTGTGACATAGTTTGGTCTTACGATTTTGATGTTGCTACATTATATAGTTACTATGCAAATATGCATGTACATTTTGGTGCACCGCGATCACAAGAAAAATACAATTTCGTTAAGCGATTCGGACGAATTATTGTTCAGAGCTACCACAGTATATTTACAAATTATGTGCACATGTCATGTCTAAATGAGCTATTGAAATTGTTTCTACATTTACACATTTTTTTTCATATTCGATCGGGTCCTCGAGTTTCTATTATTTTTCCAATTCAAGCATAAATTTCGGATGTAGCATAMCAAACGTACCGTTTTTACATAAGTTCGATATCCGGATACAAAACGTCTTAAGAAGACTTCGATTAAATCGACAATATTATAGATCATACGTCATTTTTTTTTTTTAATTATTTCATTTGATTATGTAGTACAAATAATAGTATGTTTATTTAATAAATGTCAACATTAATATCCATTATTACTTACGTAATAAAACATGAAATAGAAGAAATAAAAATATTTATGAATATAAAAGATATAGAACAACTGTTTATAATAAACTGTATTTGTCTTAACAGTTATTAATTTACACCGAAGGACGAAGGACATAATATTGTTGTATATAAGAGTAGCTTCAAAGAAAAACGATATMTCCAATTCAGCGCGCCTTTGATATTTCCCAAACGAATTTTTCAGAATTTTGATCGTCAGCCTTTGTGAAGTACATGTTTATTATTATTATTATTATACTAATATAGTATAATATATTAGAATAAAGCGCGGTGACGAATACATCTCGTAAAGCCTGCAACGCACTGCGGGACTTTTTTGATTAACGCGCGCCCGTCGCGAGCCCTGCCTGTACAAACAATAATAATAATAATAATCATTATAATATTATTTTTATTATTGAAAAAACGTTGGCGAAGGATTTTTCGATAACATACGCAGCCGCGCGCCGATGTGTCTGGACGGCTTTACGACGTCCCGCAGGCCTATAGCCGAAAGAAAACAATATTATATTATTCGGCTATGCCAATACGCGTCATCCAATTCTATTTACGATCCTTTTTTGATTATTCCCATTTGATCCCCTTTGTCACAATTTGTACGCGAATTTATTTTTTTAAACGTCACGTTGACAGATATTATATTATTTGGTCCGTTTGAAATAAATTCCTGTACGCAACGTTCTTGCATGCTGACGGTTTATATAGAAGTACCGAATAGATTTAATATAATAATATTATACTCTGACTTGTTTTCTTCCTGGCGTGGCTCACAAGCCTCAAAAACAATTGACCCTTCCCCCTCATCCATTGGTACTCTGCAAGGTGCTAAAACGTCGTCGGGCTCGTTTCTAAAACAATAATATATWTATTATTATATTCGGTTGTAAGCACGTCGGAAATGTCAACATCCGAGAGTCAGCATTTCCGTGACTGCGACAACCCGACAATATACCTTATATATTATATATATGTATATAATATACAAACATACATCAAACTAATCGCCGTTATAA